TTGGTGAAGGAGAGAGTAAGATACATAACTTTCAAAAGAAAAAGCTAAAAGCACTACATAAAGTATCACATAGCCTGTTAGAAAAAGAATATGCTTCTGAATTTCATGTCAATATTTGGGGTTTTCAGGGGTAATAAAATGTTTGGTATCAAAATTATTATAAAACACAGGATAAGGTCCAAGGTTCCATGTATTTAAGCCGTGAAATGGGTCAAGCCTCGTCTCTAATACATTTTGAAACTTGGAATAGTTGAAGGAGTTAAGTTAATCCACGTCTTTATGTGTTTTTTGGTGTATCTATACATGCCATCTCATGTTGGCCTAAAACATGCATAAATAAGTGGACATGCATTTTCTTTTCTTTTTTACCAGCCTTTCTATATGTGAATTTCCTGCTTGTATTCACCTTTTCTACAAGACCGTAATTTAGTCTTTGACTGCATAGCTTTTATCTTATGCTGGGAAGCATTAATTGCTAGACTCAGGCCCTCAAGTTGCGATCTGACATCTTGTCGAGCATATTTCTGATGAGTGCATAGTGAATTCAGGTTTTATTGGTCACCCTGTATTTATTGCCTAAAACATTTGCTAATCCTCATCTTTTTCATCATGCTTATTCCAAACTAACTTATATTAATATTTGGGCGTATGTGCCATGCGGGCAGGATGGATGGATTTCTTACAAAATAGAGTATACCTATCACCTATGCATTTAGTTCAAGTAATAAGATCATGCCCCGGAGGAAATGGAAAATGTGTTTCATTATTCTATATTTCGAATAGTCTAAGAATATAATAATGTCTTCGCACGTAAATATAGATTTTTCCTTGAGTCTCCTTGGAGATGGAAAGACTGGATTTTTTTCCTATTCTCAGTGCACATGAATGCATTATTGGGGCATATTGTTGTCACTGTACACATGCTTGGATAAGTTCAAGCAATTTGTTCGCTAAAGAAGGATGCAAAAAATATTATTGGCTGCTGTGTATCATATGCAGGGGAAATTGTTACAACAACAACATACCCAGTGAAATCCCACTAGTGGGGTCTGGGGAGGGTGGTGTGTACACATACCTTACCTCTACCTTGTGAAGGTAGAGAAGTTGTTTCTAATAGACTCTCAGCTCAAGTAAAACATTTCATAAAAAGGTTTGAAAAGGAAACACAGTAGTGAAGAAGCCATGTGAAAATAATGGAGAAAAGAACAGTAGCAACATCAAATAATACGATAATCGAAGTAAATGAAACAATAGGTAATAAAAAAATGAAGAATAAGATAAGAGAAGATTAATATTAATAATAATGATACTAATAAGAAAACCTAGACATCGTTTGATACCTACTAACCATCTACCTTAATTCTCGACATTAATTTCCTCCTCTCTAGGGTCATATCGTCGGTAAGTTGAAGGTGTGTCATATGTTGGCTAATCACCTCTCCTCAATACTTCTTTGGCCTGCTTCTACCTCTTCTCAGACCCATCATAGTCAATCTCTCACACCTCCTCATTAGGGCATAAGTGCATCTCTTCCTCACATGCCTGAACCATCTCAACCACATCTTGTCCACCGCGGAGGCCACTCTCACCTTGTCCCAAATATCTTTATTCCTAATCCTATCTCTCTTAGTATGCTCATACATCCATCTCAACATCCTCATTTTAGCTTCTTTCATCCTTCTAGACTTGCAAGTTCTTGACCGGCCAATACTCTGCACAATACTACATAGTTAGTCTAATAATCAATTTATAAAACTTACCTTTAAGTCCTGGTGGCATATTTTTATCACACAAGACACTGGATGTGAGCCTCCATTTCATCCACCCCGCTCCAATACGATGTGTAACATCATTGTCAATCTCCCCATTGCCTTTGATTATTGACCCAATACTTGAAACTTCCTCAATTGGAGATGACTTGTGTATCAATCCTCATTTCTGCATTTGCCTCGTGAGTTATGCCACTGAACTTGCACTCCAAGTAGTTTGTCTTAGTCCTGCTCAAGCTCAACCTGAACCCTTTAAACTCTAGGGTCCGTCACTAGACCTCCAGCGTATCATTAATTTTGCTGCTTATCTCGTCAATCAGTATTATGTCATCACAAATAGAAAAAACCATGGCACCTCGCATTGGATATGCAACGTTAGTTCATCCATCACCAAGGCAAATAAAAACGAACTAAGATTTGATCATTGGTACAACCCCATCAAGATTGAAAAGTGTTCCAAGTTTCCTTCCACTATTCTCACCCCAATCTCGGCTCCATCGTACATGTCCCTAATCACCCTACTGTATGCGACATGTACACCTCAACTTCCAAATTGTTGTTGTAAGAAAAGTCCTTCCCATCATTCTTGCAATTTTACCTTTTTCTTAGTACATTTTAGTTTTACTACTTAACAATGTTGTCTTGATTTCTATTAAACCTGTCAAACTCTAACCACATTTTCAAATCCCAATACCACATCGTTTTGAACTTAATCTATGAGTTCTTGAAGGGTTGAAACCACCAAGTGATCTATCATGAACTCTAAAGCACACACTTCAGGTTCTTTTTAGAATTGTCTTTTTGATATGTTTACTATATTTGAAACGCCTCCTTCCAAAATAGACTATTTAAAAGAAGGTTGCAACTGATTCAGAAAGAAAGCATTTTGTTTGTTTACTTCTGGTCAAATCATCTCCATGCTGATTTCAATTCCATGTTTCAGATGGAGGCAGTTTGTCTTAACAGCGGCCCAGTGTTTGATGACTGTGAAGAATATGAGGATGGAGGAGACTGTTCTGTGGTGGAGCATGATAATGAAATTCATGAAAATGATTCAAAGAAAGAGCCCCCACAACCCACAGTCGGTCTGGAATTTAGGTCTTTTGATGAAGCATATGATTTTTATAACATGTATGGTAAGGAAAAAGGATTTGGTGTTAGAGTGAGCAACTCCTGGTTTAGATCAAAAAGGAAAGAAAGGTATAGAGCAAAACTTAGCTGCAGTAACGCAGGTTTCAAGAAGAAAAGTGGAGCAAATCACCCTAGGCCAGAAACAAGAACTGGTTGTCCTGCAATGCTAGTAATTAAGCTTGTGGACTCAAAAAGATGGAGAATTGTTGAAGTTGTGCTTCAGCATAATCATACAGTAAGCCCAGAGATCGGACGGTTCTATAAGTCTCACAAAAAAATGATTCTTGCTTCCAAAAAGCAGCAGGAATCGACACCTGTTACAGAAGTACATACAATTAAGTTATACCGCACATTTATTGATGCTGCTTATAATGGATCCCAAGAAGTTGAGGAAACAGATAGTGGGCTTCCTGTTGATACCTCAAAGCATTTGGAGCTTAAAGAGGGGGATGCGCATGCACTGTATAATTATTTTTGTCGTATGAAATTGACAAATCCAAACTTCTTTTATCTGATGGATCTTGATGATGAAGGATGCCTTAGAAATGTGTTCTGGGCTGATGCTAGGTCTAGGGCTGCTTTCAACTCCTTTTCTGATGCAGTTGCAATTGATACAACAAGCTTGAGAAACAAATATGAAATTCCTCTAATTTCTTTTGTCGGATTAAACAATCATGGGCAACCTGTTTTGCTGGGATGTGGTTTTCTTGGACATGATTCAGTAGAGTACTTTATTTGGATGTTGAAATCATGGCAAACATGTATGCTGGGGAGACATCCACAAGTTATTCTAACTGATCAGTCAAAATCAGTGCAAATTGCAGTTTCTAAGGTTTTCCCTCAAGCTTGTCATTGTTATTGTTTGTCATATGTCATGCAGCGAGTTCCTGAGAAGTTGGGAGGATTGAAGGGGTATGAGTCTATCAAGATGCAACTGTATAAAGCAGTTTATAATTCTTTGAAGATCACCGAATTTGAAAGTTCTTGGGGTCAGATGATAAGTCAGCATGGACTCAAGGACAATAAATGGCTTCAATCATTGTACGAAGATCGTGAAAAATGGGTACCAGTCTACTTAAAAGATATTTCCTTCATGGGAATCATGCCAATAAAGGAAAACGAGAGTTTGGATTCATTTTTTGATGGTTATGTACATAAACACACTTCATTCAAAGAATTTGTTGATAAGTATGACCTAGCCCTGCAAAGGAAATATCTGAAAGAAGCAATGGCTGATATGGAGTCGAGAAGTTCAAGCTTTGAACTGAAAACAAAATGCAAATTTGAGCAGCAACTCTCTCGGATATTCACAAAGGAAATATTCAAGAAGTTCCAAAAAGAAGTTGAGGAAATGCACTCTTGCTTTAACACAAGACAAGTAAACATTATTGGGCCGATAATGACATTTGTTGTCAAAGAAAGAGTAGAATCCGAAGGAAGTGAGAAGGAGATCAGGCAGTTTGAGGTTCTCTATGAGACGACACAAGTAGAAGTACGCTGTATTTGCAGTTTGTTCAACTTTAAAGGCTACTTATGCAGACATGCATTGAATGTACTGAATTATAATGGTGTAGAAGATATTCCATCACAATACATCCTACCGCGTTGGGATAAAGATTACAAACGTAAGACTCCAGTAGATTCTATTCTTAGTCATGTTGATGTGAATAATCCTGTGGAATTATACAATCATCTACATAAACATGTCATGCGAGTTGTTGAAGAAGGGGCTCAATCTGAAGAGCATTACATGGCGGTCCTTAAAGAATTAGAAGCTTTATTGAACAGGTTTTCCCTTATAGATGACAATTTGGTTTCACTGTAATATTTGACATGGAACATTCAATGCAGAATTATAGTGCATCTTTGTACAGAATATATATCACATATCTTGATATAAGGATGGAATTGTGGTAGTTTGAAATTGCATTAGCATTTCCTCTATAACAGATAATTTGTGTTTGGTTGAAAAACAGTTTCCTGCAAAAACAAAAATTGAAATATATCCTCCAAAATGAAGTTTTCAAATCTCTAAAACAAATGTTACATAGGTTGAAACCTCAAATAAGTAAGCAACAAAACCAAATTTTCAGCATAGAGTGCAAATAAAAAGATAGTCAAGATATATTTCAACACAGATATCAAGCCAAGAAATCAATCATGAGTTATTTGACCCCTTCATTTTCCTCACATGGGTCAAAATTATATATAAATACAATCTACATTATCAAACCAAGAGTTTTGGCTTGCTTATAAACTCAAGGATATCACACGATTAATACATATCAAGGATGAAATCCATGCCAAAATACACATCCAAGCTTTACCCCAAGATTAATTAAGATGAAAAAATTGCAAAATAATGTTTCAGGACGAAAGATGTGATGCTGATCCAGTAATCCTCACTTCAAACAAGTTGGAAGTGTGAGTCCATGACAAGCGAAAGCCAAAACAACATAAACTATCACAAGGAGGAGGAATATCAGTGCCACCCTGCAAAAATCAAACATCATTATAAAGAACGATGACAAAATTAAATAATGAAATAGGAAAAGAAAAACTTGAAGCTGGCAACTCCTTCAATGTAAACAACCATCAAGAACAAAATTAAAAATATCCTGAGAGAATCAGTACAGTATAAAACTATGAAATCTTCTGTAAACGTAGGGATCTGTTGTTAGAATTGCTTCACAAAATTCACACTGTTTAGGAGCAGGCAGATAAAAGATCGTGAAACACATATTATAAGGAAAAGGAATAACCAGATCAAGAAATCCATGAGGAAGCTTCATACTGATCTCAATCATTTCATGGACTTCCCAAAGATGTAAAATTTGGATTATTATTTATTCACATTTTAAAATCTCTCTAAATAGATCCTGGAAGATACACTGTCCGTTTTGTCAAACCATTTTAGGTAGGATAGAGCCCAGCTAGTTTCAGTAATGTCAGATAACTTACAACTATAAGGGATCTTCACATGTAACAATCTAACTGTTCGAATCAGAATTTATTCTTACCCAATAAAAGAAATCTAATAGTTATAATTCATCCAACTATTGAAAGAACAACCCCCCTCCCCCACCAAGGAAAAATGAAACAAACAAAGAAATAGCTTTTGTCCAAGTAATAGAAGCAGCATACGTGAGTTTGACATTTCTCCACCATACAGTGCTTCTGAAACGGCGAGCCTGCTTTCTGAAGCGGAAAGTGTTCTCTTGCATATTAGCTGTTTTATCGACCAGCAATTCCAAGCGATCACCTCTCTCTAGAACTTTATCAATATTCTCAACCATGACAGTGCGCACCTGTTACATGGCACATACATCCAAAATTTTCTTAGCTAATGTCAAAATATAATGGCTGGTAAATATGATTTGCTGCAATTTCTAGTCTACAAGATTTGACAGCTGAAACTGTAAATATTGTTTTTATCACCGCTACTCATCAATACAATAAAAGCTTTATTACAGGAACATATAAATGACTACTGATGGTCTCAAGGGAAGCATGTTGCATCAAACACCACAAATTATTATGCCTAATAACTCATTACAATATGCTTGTTGATGAGATAATTATGATGCATTGAAAGGTGCAAGCCTCATCAGATTGAGAAAATGTGGATTTTGCATGAGCCAACATCTAGAACATAAGGTCCCTAAGGCCTAAAACAACATTGGTAACTGACCTGACTCATTTCACCCTTTAGCCTGTTTATTCTGTCTGCATTTGGATCACTAGAGTAGTATTCCATTTGCTGGCTAAGCACCCTTGAAAATTCATCATTCATACCATAAGCTTGCGCAGACAGAACTGCTCGGCCATAGGTCCTCACAAATCTTTGATGAATTTCTTCAAGAAATGCGAAAGGGATTCTTCCTGTAGCGGAATTTAGTATAGTAAAATATCCACAATATATGACAATCTTCCAAGGCAACATATCAAAAATGAAAATGAAATCTGTGGTGTTACTAAAGAACTAAACCACTATCTAAATTCGAACTAAATTAAAAGGAGAGTCTGTGTACAACTACAAATCTTCTTCTTTTTTGGGAACTACTAACCAAAGTGTATTTACACAATGTACTAGGAGATACAAAACCAAGGAAAAGATGCCAAGGTAAAATATATTAAAGAATGGTATAGAATAGATATCCCTAAGACAGAATAAATATATATCAAGAAGAGCAGAATTACCAATGCTGCAGGATATTATCCAGTGATATTGTGAAATGAACCTGTAACTAAAGACCATAAGGCTGCTTAAAAGACAACACTTCACAATATTCTGTTTCTCGGATTTATAAAATGGCTTTAAGCCCAGGGATTGATCACTGAGAGGAGTCCTTGTGGGATTAATATATCCATTCACCAACTCACTGAAGTATAGTTATCTTCACACCAACCTACCCTGACCCCACTTGTCACTGGTTATGTTGTTTTTGTTTAGATATAACTAGTTTTAAGTCGAGTATCCATCAGAAACAGTCTCTCTACCGTCAGGGTAAGGTTGCATACACACCACTCTCCCCAGACCCATGTTGTTGCTGTTGTTTAGATATATCTATATTTGAGCCAAGGCTATCGAAAACAGTTTTTCTATCTTCAGAATAAGGTCGTATACACACCAGTCACCACCCTCCCAGCCCCACTTGTCAGATTACACCGGCTATGATGTTGTTGTTTAGATATATCTACATAAACATGAATTTAAACACATTCTAACAACATAACTGCATTATACAAAATGGTAATTGCTTACTTCCAGCACTATCATCCGCCATACAGAGTACGGTAAGGCCATCAGTGCGTTTAACATGGAAAATATACCGATCCTGTGAGTACGAAGCATTGGAATCATTATTCCCCGGGATTTTCTCCAAAATCTGCCTCGCGATCGTACTCGCGTTCGTTGACGTCCCGCTCTGCTCCGCCAACACCACCGATCCCCTCGCTACCAGCGCATACAGTATCGTCATCTCTCTTCCTCTGCACCTTTCTTCCTCTGTATATACATACAAAATTAAAAATATGTATGATTATGATTATGCATATCATAATTTCAAATTCTAGATCCGTCTCTATGTTTGTATAAACATATTTATATCAAAATTTATATATATACCCGTAAATTTCAAATTCTAGATCCACCTCAATAATATAAATTTAGAGCGAAGTTTGAAAAAAATCGAATCGTTACAGTAGAGCGTTTACCTTTTTTTTTTCTTTTTTGAGGAAGAAGGCGATGAAGAGATAGGCGTTTGATTGACCCACGCTGTACCCTTTCCGAGCTGTCAACTAACTTTAATGCCACCAATCATGGTTTGTTATTTGAATTTAAATTTGGCAAGCATGTGTTTGGATGACATTTGATATGATTTTTATTTGTTTCTTATTGACTTAACATATCTTAAAATGATAATTTTATTATATTATTATTTGAATATAATAAATTTTATATTTTAAAAAATAATTATAGTTGATAGAAATTAATTCAAAATGGAAAAATCACCCCCACATATAATTTGTTGGGTTTGTGTTTGTGAGCTTGTAACGTAAAATTTTAGTGAAACAGACAAGAATTTCATCTACGGTAAAACATCACTAAATTAATATAAGTGGAATCATGAAATATTATTATTTTATAGAAATATTATTTTATCGATAAATTGATATTTATCAATTTAAAGAATATTTTGAGATTCAATGAATGTTAATTTTGATTACATCAAATTCATTGTATTTTACTAATTTATGTATCATATTTATTGAATTCACATTAAAAAAAAAAGTTTATACATAATGTACAATGAATATGTCAAAATCATTGTATCTTGCTAAATTATGTATCATATTTATTGAATTCATATAAAAAAAATCAGTATACGTAAAGTACAATGTATGTGTATGATCCATTGTAATATATTATTTTGTTAAATGGTTTGTTGTAATATAAATTCAATAATTCAATGATTCATAGTAAAAGTAATGTACATAATGTACATTATGTACATTATTTCTTAATAATAAAATATTATTCATTGTATCTTTATTACAAACACTTTAATGTATGATGGTGAGACAATAAATTATATACGCAATATAGAAAATTTTGAAAACCATATCCAAAAATGGCTTCTCATTTAAAAGATGTCACAAAATCAACAATGACGGATCAAAAACATAAAGCATTATGTGAGTACAAAGAGATCATTCCACATGCTCTCAAAAGAATTTGCAGTCATGGATTAATGAAAAATTTTCATTTAAAAGCTAGTCAAGGTACAATACCAAACACACTCAAACGATCAGCTGAATTTTATGGTGCACTTCAAAAAGACATCGTCAGAACTTTTGAATGCAATAAGAAAAGTTAGAATTGAGCTTCAACAATACACAATAGAATCATATTTCATTAATTTGTCTTGGATATATTTGTACTTTTAAGGAATTATTAATTTATAATATTAATGAGACCATATATTTATATAGGTTTTCTGAAAATATATTATCTTATCGGAATAGTTGATATTTTCACTGGCCCATGTCGTGATTGGAGAAAATATTATTTGTCATGACCTGAGCCTACATCCTAGACGTGACCGGCACTCGAGAACCATTGTTGGTCCTGAGCCTACATCATGGCTGACTACAAGCGGAAGACTAACTCAAGCATATATAAGCATCAAATTGACAGAAACGTTTAAAACAATTTACTGAATCTTAAAACTGAACTGAATATACTGAATATGAAACATAAGTTTTAAATAAAACATTTGAAACTGAAAGACTCTACAAAACTGTTTATCAATGAAACCTCTATTATACAAAGATGAGTCTCATAAGACTGGAGTCCTCCGGAAGCAAAGAGACCTCATTCGAAAGTTGACGAACAGATGAAGTGATCTTAACAGACTCTTGTTGAGGATCTTAATAACTTGTATCTGCATCATTAAAAGATGCAGGTCGAATGACATCAGTACATTGAATGTACGAGTATGTAATATAGTTGAATAACAAATAACGAAAAGAAAGGACTGGAATAGATAACAATGTACTCAAGCTGAATGTAAAGAAATAAATGAGTTAAAATCATTTAAAGTTTTACAAAATACTTTCTCATCTCTGAACTCAACATAATAAGTTATACATAAAAATACACTTTAACTTTATTTGGGAGATTCTAGAATCGACAACCATTACTATGAGCTACATGATGAAACAACGTCTCGCCCACGCTGCCAGAACTGTCATATACCTTGTCGGGATATAGGACACCTCAACTAAGTAGATTCACTAAGATATGCTTAAAAAGCAATATGGAATTATCTAAAAAGTATGACCCTTTACCCATGTTGGCATACATGGTTTATGAGGACTTTGAGTTGTCTGAACTCGTCCCCATATCGGTGCTCAATACTACTCCCAATAATATATAATCATGCTCATATGTTTAAAAACATAACTCTTCCTCTAGTTTTAGATAATTGCTCAAACTACCATCTTAAAAGAAGTAACTGGTCTTGAAATATCTTTGAACTCATAACTCATTTAGGAATCTCGATTCTTTTATCAATGTAAAAATTGATACATCTGGGAATACATAGCCCCCGTATACTTTTACTCAATTCATACTTGAAAACTCTTTCTCAAAAATATATCAAAATCATATTTTAATATGATCATTAATGACTCGGGAAGTCATACTGCATAAACATTGATAGTATATCTAGATACCATACTGCTCATACATTCATGGCATACTCAATTGTCATATTAATCATGGTTTAGAAACTCTTTTCCCAAAACTCATCTTTACTTTCTCAAAACTCAGCTTAAGAACTCAAGTGTTGGTTTAAAAGCTTTTCAAAATTTATAACTCAAATCATAGGGTTCATGCTGAAATATAGACATGAACAAATCAAATCAAGGATCTCAATAAAAATATAGAGACTCAATAATTAGGAATATAATTTGTTTAAAAGAAACATGAACTCAAGAACTCAAAATCAACTTATCTCAAGAATACTCAAATCTAGGGAAAGAATCCTAGATTTTTCTTTTATTGATTTGAAAGTAGATGTAGGGTGTGAGGACAAACTAGTCCAACACTATGATAGCCTTACATACCTGAAAGAACAAGGTTCTTGAAGAATCTTGAAAAAGAACTTGGTTAGAAGACTTGAAACTCTAGCTTGAAAGAGAACGATTAAGAAAACCTTTATTGAGATTCTTGATTACTTTCTTGAAATCTCTATGGCCAAGAATTATGGAGGAATTTGAGTTGAAAATAATGAAATTCTAGGAGAAAAACTTACCTTGAAGAAAAATCTTGAAAAAGATTGAAAGAATCTTGAATGGAGTCTTCTACTTTTATTTTTCCTTAGGGTTTTGCCCTAGGGTTTGAGAGAGAAGAGAATGATGAATTAAAAGATGAAAATCTGATTGTTTTGAGCCTTATATTAGTCTAGAAAGCAGTTTAGAGTTTTATTGGAGGTAAAAAGACAAAAAGTCCCTTTTTAATGTTTTTCCGTCGGCTAATTCGTCACTGCACTGTATCAGTTACTAAAATGGTCATAACTTTTTACTCATAAATTGGATTGACGCGAAATTGGTGACGTTGGAAAGTAGATTAAAATACCTTTAATTTGATAGGTTATAGGTCACATAACACTTATATTCTAAGAGATATGGTCGTTTGAAGTTGATCCAAGTAGAATCTTACATCGAAACTTAATCGGTAAGGAAACTTTCAACTCAACTCTGTGTTAGGAGATTCTAGTTACCTTAATTAATATCCAAAATCATTCCCAAACTAAAGAATTTACCTTTACACATATAAACAATTTAAGAATCACCCGATTCATAGTTGCTTAATTTCTCCCCCTTGTGTCAGAAAAATCTAACATATATCTTAATCTACTTTGAAGAATTCATTTTTTTGTGTCATGGTATATATTATCACAAAAAAATAGATGAACAATATGTTGGTGTATATGCATTTTGAAATTAAAATATTAAGTGCATAAGTTTAGTGGTATAAGTTGACAAGAATGTGGTCATTATTTTGATGTAACTCTTATAACCATTATTGACACGATCTACCATTAATTCCACTCATTATTCTACCTCATTATACATTGTAACTTATGTAACATTTAAACCATTTATTTACCTACATTATATATATCCATATTATTGATCTTATTCAATACAAAGAAGAATTTCTCCCCTATAAACAGTGGTATTTCTTCCTTTATGAAGGGGCTATAAAAAAAAAAAGATGTGTGGAATAATATTGTAGTGTATAGTGAGGTAAGTGTAGTGAAAGAGAGAGTTGAGACAAAGAAAATACTCTAAGTCTTCAACTATATTCACTATGGAAAAGATAATATTTATATGTTGAAGGAAGGTGTTCTTATATGAAGCTTTGGACTCTTCAACTAAATCCGAAGTTGCTTAAGTTGTACGACATTGTTGGGTTGTTGTATCTTGGAAGGACAAGTCAAGAGTATTATTGCTGAATCGGTGTAGATTATGCCGCAGTGGGCTTGAATCTCCTTAAAGAGAGCGAGATATCCGCGCCTCAGCTTAAATAATTTGTCTATTCATTTTTGTCATTTTGTTTTCAACTGTAATTTATTATGTTTGTGGTAAATTAAACCAACACAATATTTATTTTTTTAATCATAAATCAATTGAGAGGAAAACTTAATCACGATTCATTGATGTAATGTATACAAATGCTTTTGTACGCAATATATTAAGCAAAACTCGTCGGTAGCCACCTAAAATTAACATCAACTTTCACTTAGACACCTCAATTAGGGTTTGTTCATTTTAAACACCTCAATTAGGGTTTGTTCATTTTAAACACCTCATGTGGAATTTAATTTCATTATGTCATTTTGACACTTTTTTAACAATCATTTAAATATTAAGATGTGTGTAACACACTTGCCGATGATATGTAAAAGTAGCGAATTAAATAAAAACATGTGACATATATACCAAAAATAATTGTTGAAAATATAAATTGTGAACAAAAATCCATGTTTAAAGCTATTTAGTTAATTACTTTTAATAAAAGCTACATTTCAATAAAGAAGAAAAAAAAATAAAAATGCACCACTTCTTTTTTTTCTCCCCCGTTTTCACATCTTCTCCTCCTTTAACAAGCATGACCTTCTTATTAAAACATGTTGAAATGTGCCGACTTAGTAAA